CCTGCCGCTACAACCAGACCCCAGTAAAGCGCTTTGAGTGGAGTGTCCAGAAAAGCGCTATATAAGTGTAAACAACTATTATAATTATTACAACCAGACCCCAGTAACTCACATGTGGTAATCTGTTCTACACAGCTGTGCTGCCGTATTCTAGACGTATTCTAGAATACGGAGTGACTGATGAAATCTAATCTGACTGTTGTGTGCTGCCCTGTGGTTTCCATTAACCAGAGTTATTTAACAGCCCAGATAAACCTCACTCTTCCAGGAAACGCCAAGTCGTTAGTGTAGGAGAGCTCGGGGGGAGGGGACTTTAGAAATTGACTAACCTTTTGAAGAAGATGAAAATGTAAATATCTTTTGCTTTTATTTCAGTGGTTTTTGAGAAGCCGGCGCCTTTATCTAATCTGATCAGCACATGTCGCCCTGACGCAGATGTGCTCTGCCTTTATCAACGCACAGCATTTATCGGAAAATACATTTGCTGCGGTTTTATGTGTAGACGAGATCACACAACCTAGATTTGCCAGTGGAAAGTAGCTACAGTCAAGAACACTTTTGCTGCTCATGTTTGAAAGGAGAGGCCTCAGAAGGACTGGTGAGAGACAAGGTCCCGAAAAATCTCTACCTCCTGACACACACACCTAATGTGCATACACCCTGACACACACACCTAATGTGCATACACCCTGACACACACACCTAATGTGCATACACCCTGACACACACCCTCTATCACAGCACGCACACACCCTGACACAGGTGAGTGTGCAGGACTCCAGGCAGGCGTGCAGTCTCTGCAGGTGAGTGTGCAGGACTCCAGGCAGGCGTGCAGTCTCTGCAGGTGAGCGTGCAGGACTCCAGGCAGGCGTGCAGTCTCTGCAGGTGAGCGTGCAGGACTCCAGGCAGGCGTGGGTTAGCGTGAGACCAGTTTGAAGTGCGTCGTGTCAGGCGACGGCGTTTGATCCGCGTTTCCCCCTCTTTCTGCACGTGTCGGAGTGAGAGTGACCCGGGCCTACGAACAGCACAATCTGGCCCTGGCTCTACCCAGAATACTGGCACCGCAACCAATTAAACCAATTAAACTCACCAGCTGAATCAATTAACTAACGAGGATGAAATTTCCTGCCTTTGTCTTCCTGGAAACTGGACCGTCCTGTCCTCTGTCCCGCAGGTGAATATACAGCTTTACTCAACCTGTTTTTCCAGAGACACAATCCCACACAACCGGCCTCCCCGCCCCCCTACTCACACTGAGAGCTCTGGGGCCTGAAGGCACTGGCCTGTTTGCGCTGAGTTCTCTCTGTTGTCTCTCCCAGGGTGCTGTCAGCGACACTGGCTTCTGGCTCAAGCAACATGCAGGGGAAGGACTAATTCATTTCATTAAGACAAATTCTAAAGGTCCCCATGAGGAAAGAGACACCCAGGAGAGAGAGATAAAACACACTGGCCAAGGGCCTGACCAGGGTGAGAGACTGCAAGAGGAAGAGAGAGGGGAGGGAGAGACAGGAGACAGGAGAGAGAGAAGAGGAGGGAGAGACAGGAGAGAGGAGGGAGGAGGAAGAGAGAGGAGAGCGGAGGGAGAGACAGGAGAGAGGAGAAAGGGGAAAAGACAGAAGAGAGGAGAGAGGAGTGAGAGACAGGATTAGAGAAACATTCTTCCCTAAATTCAGCAATCTAATCCCAGAGTTCCCACACCTGCCAGAATCACAACGGGTCCCAGTCCTACTGGGAGAGGGGGGAGGGAACTCAGTTGAACTGGCAGCCCAATATGTGATTTGCTATCTCCAATTAAACCAATTAAACTCACCAGCTGAGTTTCTCCTCAGTTTCTCCTGTTCCTCAGTTTCTCCTGAGGAACAGTGAGTCTGTCTCCCAATCATGCTCCATATGTTTACAATACATGTAAATATTTTATAATATGTTTTTGTTGTAAATGTCTGTAGATTTTATTTTACTTTTTTTTGTTCCATGTGAATTTCATTATTTTATTTGCTTTGGCAACACTGATTGTACCCATCGGTCATGCTAATAAAGCACCTTGAATTGAATCGAAATTGACAGGCCAGAGGAGAGAGGGGGAGAGACAGGAGAGAGGAGAGATGAGAGAGGGGGAGAGACAGGAGAGAGGAGAGAGATGACAGGGCAGACAGGAGGGGGGGGGAGAGAGACCACTGGAGAAATCTGAAGAGGCAGAGGGGAGGGAGGCAGGCACAGGGAAAGACAGACAGAGCAACAGGGCTTCAGTAAAACAGCCCTTGCTGACCCCCTGCTTCCTGTTTCCTTGGCAACCCAGAACTAAAAAGCTGGGGAGGAAGTGAGGTCATTGCTTCAATTCAGTCCTGCAATGTGACCTAAATAAGTACACACACATAGGCACACGTATGCACGTCCATGGGCACGCACTGGTCCCACAAAGGAGCAGCGCTGCGCCCTCCTCTGCCAGGCCAGTGCAGCCGATACCCTCGTGGCTGAAGGTGGGCACCCCGGGTGTTGGGCACCTGTGTAGGTGTAGCTGCACCGAATGACCCTGGAACCCGAACATACATTTGACTTCTGGAGCATCCTAGCCGAAAAGCGTCTGCAAGCACTGAACACCCCGAGCAATGAATTCATTGAGTGAGCAGGACTCCCAGGCGAGGGGTACTGTAGAAAGCTGGCTCGATCCCTCATTCAGCCCGAGTCTGGGCTGCATCCCGGCTGTGCCAATCTCTAGTTCTGGCCATGTCCTCCGGCAGACAGGCTGAGTCCGGATGGAAATCACTGCTGTGGTTGACAGTTATAACAACCCTGATTCAAGTAGGGACGGAAAAGCTTATTTTCACAATCTGTTGGTTAGAGATGTATCAGTGTGTGCGGGACTCCAGGCAGGTGTGCAGTCTCTGCAGGTGAGCGTGCAAGACTCCAGGCAGGTGTGCAGTCTCTGCAGGTGAGCGTGCAGGACTCCAGGCAGGTGTGCAGTCCCTACAGGTAAGTGTGCACATGCTGAGCTCCTATGTTTTAGGGAGGCTGTGTAACAGAACCACTGTTAGTTCTAGACAATCTCTGCAGCAGAAAGAGGCCCTACCAAGAGTCATGGTTTCTTGAAACAGTAAGCCAGACTTATTTTCACAGGTAAAACCGACACCTTTTCTAGTTTCTTTTGTGTTTCTGAATCTTCCCCTGCATTAGATGAGGATAAAGAGCTGAAACACGAGACGACTGAAACCTTTCATAATCAAACCCTTGAGCCGATTTTGGGTGAGAAAGCTTTGACAGACGTTACAGACAGCAGAACTAGAAATCCAGCACAAAGCCTGAGAGGAAAGCAGTAAAATAGAAACGTACAATAATAGGAGGAAACAAAAAAGCACACCAGTAAGTTATACAAAACTCAAATCTTTTATTAAATTTCTATTTCTTTTTTTTATAAAAGTTCTAATACCGTTGGCATTAAACTAGGAGAAGATAGTGATAAAATCCTCTGACACACTGGTGTTGCAGCACAGCAATGCAAGCTCCTCATGGGAGAGGGGGAGCGGTCGGTTCTTAACAACCAGTTCCATGATTCTTCAACAGTTCATCTGTTAATTAGCGATTTCTTAAAAACACTGGAAGGAAATGTGGCGCCACAGTGTGCGGTCTCCCACCGACACGTTTAAAAAAAAAAGTCACAAATTTTTTTGAACACAGAAAAAAAAAATTCCAACATCTGACTTGTGGTGATGTGAAGACAGGAAGGTGTTTCTCACCACAGTCTGAACGCTAAAGCACAGATCGCTTGGTGTGCACCTGCAACTCGTCCCCGGCCTGTCCCCCAGTCTGCCTGTCCTTATAGCTCTACTGGGGCCTGTGTCCCAGTCCGCCTCTTAACTAATCTGTTCTGAGGGCCCTCAATTTGGAATAGGAAGCTCATAATCTCAGCTCACAAGCGGGCCTCCTCTCCTGCTCAGACACGCCGGCCTGTCACTGCTGCTCAGGGTCTGAGCTCTGCTGCCCCTTACTGGTGCAGGCTGGCATTGCATGCTGGGGGGCTCAGCTCTTCTGCCACAGCCCAGCCCTGTCCTCCGTCCCATCCCAGAGCTACAGGCGGAGGTGCCCGGCTCTGCAGTTAGTCAGGAGGCTTGCATGCAATAGTATAAAAAAAGAAGAATCTTGAGGAAGGAGGTGGGAGAGTCAGGCCTTGGGAGAAAAGATCGGTGTGAAATTCCCTGCAGGCTGTCACCCTTACACCTCTTCTGACACTAAAAGCAGATACTGAACACTGTCCAGGCCGGGTGCTGTCTGAAGGCCCTGACACACACACACACACTGCTCTGAGCACCGAGGTGTATGGTTACAGTCACAGTGCAGTCGGGCTGCACTGAAAGCCAGCGGTGGAACAGCCTGGAGTCGGACAAAGTAAACCCAGCCAGCCCTGCAGGGCAGGCAGAAGGACAGATCCCGATCCGTCAGTCCTTCCCTGTAATGCCAGTATCCCCCCTGGGGGAGAGGAAGACAGAGTCACTGGGCTGGTGCAGGTCAGGGGTGTCAGTTTACTGTTTAACAGGGCGCAGCAGGAGGAGGGCGAGGGCTGTGCCTGCCTGTGTCCCGGCTACTTCTGAGCAGCAG